TAGTGCAGGGTTTTTCCTTAATATCCATACCAGACCCAAAGGGCCCGGTATGGATGGGGAAGGGGGCCCGGAGGGGAGGGCGGGACCCGGGGGGGAGGGGCCCCACACTGTTTTTTTCCATCGTTTGTAATTGCCAGCATGTTTTGTTTACATTCAGCTGTCAGTGGATCCCTCCCCCTCCCCTCCCCCCGCGCCGACAGCTGATGAGTCATCCGTGGTGAAGGACTCCGCGGCCGGCTTCCTTCACAACCAGCTGCCGTACGATAAATTACCGCGTGAAACTATGCGATAATTATCGCAAAACAGATATTTTACCACAAAATTCTCAGTGAATTGAACATTTGAAAAAAAAATTGCCGCGTGCGTTATTTCACTGCGTGTTTTCAGTTGTTATTTAACTATTAGGCTCCGCCCACACCAAGGCTTTTTCAGAAACGCACTGCAGTCCATCTAACACGGCGTCCTACGGGACGCGGTCACATCCATGCTTTTTTGAGCCGCTGCGTTCTTGGAAAGGGGCGGAGACTATTTTAAAAAGCAAAAAGCAGCATTTTTTGCTACAAGAGAGTTCAATAGAGAATCTGCAGAAATGCGCGCGGAGGGAGGTTTTGCCGCGTTTTGCGTTTTGTATTTTTATTCTGCTCAGGAACAAAGAAAAAAAAGAAGGGCTGAACAAAATGCGGTACAAAGGCATCAAAAAAAAAAACGCGTGTAGAAAAACGCAAAATAAACTGCAAAAAGCGCTGGAAAACGGACAGAAAGCAAACAGCATCTGTGAGAACGGAACCTGACGGAACCTGGCGGAACTGACGGAACCTGAGCAGGGGCGGACTGACAACTTATGGGGCCCCCGGGCAATAGGGGATCATGGGGCCCCTGTGTCCTTGCCCAAACTCAAAAAAGCCTATGAAAAAGGTACCAGGGGCATCTCATGGGGCCCCCTACTGACCCCGGGCCCTCAGGCAGTGCCCAAGTTTCCAAATGGTCAGTCCGCACCTGAACCTGACGGAACCGACCCGATTCTGCTGAATTCTGAAGGTTTCCCAGGAAAATGTCATGCAAAGCTCACCACCACCATCTTGTGGACAAATTAGATAACTGCAAAACCTGCTGGATTCTTATAATAACAATAAAATAATATTATAACAATATTATTATAATAATATATTTATTATTATATTGTTATAGTTATTATTACTATTATTATATTGTTATTATAATATAATAATAATATTATAATAATGATAGTAATAATAATAATAATAAAATAATAATAATAATAATAATAATAATAAAATAATAATATAATAAACAATACAATAATATTAACCTCCCTGGCGGTCTGATTATTTCAGATTTTTGGTGCTGAAAGCGCGGTACCATTTTTTTGCATGGAAATATGTATTTTTTTTATTGTAGGCTGTAATTTTTAGGAAAAACTCACTGAAATCTGTCCGAACAAGAGTCTAGTAAACATCCCGGGGAGGATAAAATTTGAAACACAAAATCATAAATTATAATTTAATAAATAATCATAAAAATAATATAAAAATAATAAAAAAAATTTAATTCAATAATATAATCAAACCAAAAACACTGAAATGTGAAATAGAGCGCCAAGTTCGCACATCGCTGAGCTCAGTCGCAAAATCGTTTTCAGTTTCTGATGACGAATTTCCCCCACCAATCATTATCCCTCAATTCTGCAAGTGGTTCTGATTTACTATCGCTGTTCTCTAGCCGGTCTAAAACCGCGTCTGACCTAAAGGGACGCTTTTTGGACGCCGTGGACGTTTCTCAGTTTCCAGGCAGAAAGAACAGACAAAATGCAGGCAGGGCGCCGGACAAAGCACTCGGGACAAAATGTATGTGAAATAGGTTGAAACAGAAATGTTTTACTATGTAAAATGAAAAAAAAAAAAAAAATTGACATTTTTTTAAATTTTTAAATTCCCCGTACGTCCCGACGTCACAGGGACAGGACACAGAAGCCGGATGCCGGCATCGGCCGGAGGAGATGGCCGGGGACGCTGCAGGGGACACATCGCGGGAGCGCAGGGTAAGGTAAGTGAAGAACACATGCCGGAGCAGTGCCGCATGGTATTCCCGAGTGTAGCTCGGGGGGGGGTTACCGCTTTTGGTACTGAAATGTTACCCCGAGCTACACTCGGGAATACCGCCAGGGGGGTTAATAATAATAATAATAATAATAATAATAATAAAATAATAATATAATAATAATATAATAACAATAATACAATAATATTAATAATAAAAATAACGATAATAATAATATTAATTACAGAATATAACTGGATATAACATTTATAGGTAAAGTTGATCCCGGGAATATCCGAATATCAGGAAGGACCTTTTTTCTCCTGCAGGAGCAGATTGGATCGTGCTTTGCTGGGTTTTGTTTGCCTTCCTCTGGATACACTGTGGGTGTCGGATTATAACTTTTTTTTTTTTTTGTTATGGTTGAACTGGATGGAATTTTCTTTTTTCAGCCAGACTAACTATGTAATAATATTAATAATATCTTAACAATAATAATACAATAATATAACAATAATAACAAAGCATCGTTTTGCACCCCCCATGTTACCCTGCAGGAGACGTCACCCTGGCGCAGCCTCGCCAGCTCCTCTCTGTTCCTTCAGAGCGTCCCCAGGAGAGCGGCAGCTCCTATTGGACCGCACTTGGGATTTGTATAGAATTATGGGGAGGCGCCCTCTGTACATAAGCGGATTTCTCAGCAAAATAAAGCATGGAGAAACGGACAGACAGACATGGATGGATGGATGGATGGATGGGTGGATGGAGACATGGATGGATGGATGGAGGGATGAATGGAAGTGTAGATGGATGGAGACATGGATGGATTGATGGAGACATTTGTGGAGGGATGTATAGATAGAGGGATGGATGGATGGATGGATAGATAGAGGGATGGATGGAGGAATGGATGGAGGGATGGATGGATGGATAGATAGAGGGATGGTTGGATGGATGGATGGATGGTTGGATGGATGGAGGGATGGATGGATGGATGGATAGATAGAGGGATGGTTGGATGGATGGTTGGATGGATGGAGGGATGGAGGGAGGGATGGATGGATGGTTGGATGGATGGAGGGAGTGTAACACTGATCATGTGACGTTCTCTGATCTCATTCTCAGCTGTGAAATTAACAACTTTCCTCCCAGGCTGAGCTTTGCGCTGTTTATTTTTTTACATTATTTGGAATGCCGGATGTCGGGGTGTCAGGGTGTCGGGGTGTCGGGGTGCAGGGTGTCGGGGTGTCAGGGTGTCGGGGTGTTAGGGTGTCGGGGTGTCGGGTGTCGGGGGTGTTAGGGTGTCGGGGTGTCAGGGTGTCGGGGTGTCAGGGTGTCGGGGTGTCGGGGTGCAGGGTGTCGGGGTGTTAGGGTGTCGGGGTGTCAGGGTGTCGGGGGGTGTCAGGGTGTCGGGTGTCGGGGTGCAGGGTGTCGGGGTGTTAGGGTGTCGGGGGGTGTCAGAGTGTCGGGTGTCGGGGTGTGTCGGGGTGTCGGTGTCGGGTGTCAGGGTGTCGGGTGTCGGGGTGCAGGGTGTCGGGGTGTCAGGGGTGTGTCGGGGTGCAGGGTGTCGGGGTGTGTCAGGGTGTCGGGGTGTCGGGTGTCGGGGTGTCGGGGTGTCGGGGTGTTAGGGTGTCGGTCAGGTGTTTTCGTCAGGGTGTCGGGGTGTCAGGGTGGGGGTGTCGGGTGTCGGGGTGCGGGGTGCAGGGGTGTCGGGGGTGTTAGGGTGTCGGGGTGTCAGAGTGTCGGGTGTCGGGGTGTCAGGGTGTCGGGTGTCGGGGTGCAGGGTGTCGGGGTGTCAGGGTGTCGGGGTGCAGCTGCTATTGGGTTGTAATATTATGTCTTCTCTTTGAACGCAGATATATTGTTGGTATATTATATCTCTATTATATTCTGTTATGTTTTATTCTCTTCCATTCTATTCTACATTTGAGGCATTTATTTTTGCAGCGTTCTGGCAGAACAAATCCATGATATTTGGATGATGAATCCTCATTATGATTGGACAGAGATGTGTTTCAGTTCAGATTTGTTTGTTAAGTTAATCATTTTGTTTCTCCGCATTCGTTATGTTGGATTCATTTTCAGAATTTGTTTCATATATTCATTATTTTCAAATTGATTCAAAATTCAAATTCTGGAAGACGGCTATATTCATTCTGTGTTATTCTATTCCATTCTTTTCTATTCAGTTATTTTGTTTTCTATTCTATTCTGTTTGATTCTTTTCCTTTCTATTCTATTATTTTATATGCTATTCTTTCATCTTCTATTTTATCCTATTCTGATTTATTCTATTCTATTCCTTAATTTTCTGTTCTGTTTTATTCCATTCCATTTTATTATTTTATATTCTATTCTGTTCCATTCCTTTATATTCTTTTCTATTCGGTTTTATTCCATACTATTCTATATTACATCAGAGGTATTTTTCTGCAATGTTGTGGCAGAAGAACGTCAGCGTATTTGGAGCATAAATTCACATTTTGGTCAATATTAAACATTTGTTTCATTTCTGACTTGTTTGTTAAATGAATAATTTTGTTTCCCGTATTTTTATGTTAGAATGATTTATTTTGAGAATTCGTTTTATATATTCGTTATTTTAAAAGAAAGCTCTATTTGTGTGAAAAAATGATAAAAAAATTCATTTGTACAATGTCGCACGACCGCACAATTGTCATTCAAAGTGCAATAATGCTGGGAGCTGAACATTGGCCTGGGCAGGAGGGGGAGGGGTTAAAGGGAAACTCTAAGACAACACTCCCACCGTTGCACAATCGTATAACTGCAGTCATGTGTGTCGCATTTCCATTCACTCTCAATGGCGCCCAACATACCTACATCAATAGAGGCGCCCACCCCGGAACACTGCAACCGTAGAGACCACCCTGGCTGCGGTGTGATCAGAATAATGGGACGTGGAGATCCCACTGAAAATAACGACACAGTATATGGCCCCGAGATTTGGCCCCGCCCTCCCAATCATGTGACTCAGGTGCTCCAATCCCCTCCCTATCATGTGATTCAGGTGTTAAAATTCCCTCCATATCATGTGATTCAGGTGTTCCAATCCCCTCCATATCATGTGATTCAGGTGTTCCAATCCCCTCCATATCATGTGATTCAGGTGTTCCAATCCCCTCCATATCATGTGATTCAGGTGTTCCAATCCCCTCCATATCATGTGATTCAGGTGTTCCAATTCCCTCCCAATCATGTGATTCAGGTGTTCCAATCCCCTCCATGGACACAGGTGTTCCAATCCCCTCCATATCATGTGATTCAGGTGTTCCAATCCCCTCCATGGACACAGGTGTTCCAATCCCCTCCATATCTTGTGATTCAGGTGTTCCAATCCCCTCCATATCATGCGATTCACGTGCTCCAATCCCCTCCATATCATGTGATTCACGTGCTCCAATCCCCTCCATATCATGTGATTCAGGTGTTCCAATCCCCTCCCAATCATGTGATTCAGGTGTTCCAATCCCCCCCATATCATGTGATTCAGGTGTGTCCAATCCCCTCCATATCATGTGATTCAGGTGTTCCAATCCCCTCCATATCATGTGATTCAGGTGTTCCAATCCCCTCCATATCATGTGATTCAGGTGTTCCAATCCCCTCCATATCATGTGATTCAGGTGTGTTCCAATCCCCTCCATGGACACAGGTGTATACAATCACGCCCCTAGGCATGCAGACGGCTTCTACAAACATTGGTGAAAGAATGGGTCGCTCTCAGGAGCTCAGTGACTCCAAGCGTGGTCCCGTGATAGGTGGCCACCTGGGCAATAAGTCCATCCGTGACATTTCCTGGCTACTAAATATTCCACGCTCAACTGTTAGTGGGATTATAACAAAGTGGAAGCAACTGGGAACAACAGCCACTCAGCCACCAAGTGGTAGGCCACGTCACATGACAGGGCGGGGTCAGCGCATGCTGAAGCGCACAGTGCGCAGAAGTCGCCAACTGTCTGCAGAGTCAATAGCTAAAGACCTCCAAACTTGGTGTGGCCTTCAGATGAGCCCAACAACAGTGCGTAGAGAGCTTCATGGAATGGGTTTCCATGGCCGAGCAGCTGCATCCAAGCCTTCCATCACCAAGTGCAATGCAAAGCGTCGGATGCTGTGGTGTAAAGCACGCCGCCACTGGACTCTAGAACAGTGGAGACGTGTTCTCTGGAGGGACCAATCACGCTTCTCTGTCTGGCAATCCGATGGACATGTCTGGGTTTTGCGGTTGCCAGGAGAACGGTACTTGCCTGACTGCGTTGTGCCAAGTGTAAAGTTTGGTGGAGGGGGGATTATGGTGTGGGGGTGTTTTTCAGGGGTTGGGCTTGGCCCCCTACTTCCAGGGAAGGGAACTCTTAATGCAACATTTTGGACAATTTCATGCTCCCAACTTTGTGGGAGGAGTTTGGGGATGGCCCCTTCCTGTTCCAACATGTCTGCCCCCCAGTGCACAAAGCAAGGTCCATAAAGACATGGAGGAGCCAGTTTGGGGTGGAGGAAACTTGACTGTCCTGCACAGAGTCCTGACCTCAACCCCATAGAACACCTTTGGGATGAATTAGAGCGGAGACTGTGAGCCAGACCTCCTCCCCCGACATCAGTGCCTGACCTGACAAATGTGCTTCTGGAAGAATGGTCCAACCTTCCCATAGACACCCTCCTAAACCTTGTGGACGGCCTTCCCAGAAGAGTTGAAGCTGTTATAGGTGCAAAGGGCGGGGCCAACTCAATATTGAACCCTACGGACTAAGACTGGGGGGCCATTAAAGGTCATGTGCGTGGAAAGGGCGGGGCCAACTCAATATTGAACCCTACGGACTAAGACTGGGGGGGCCATTACAGGTCATGTGTGTGGAAAGGGCGGGGCCAACTCAATATTGAACCCTACGGACTAAGATGGGGGGCCATTAAAGGTCATGTGCGTGGAAAGGGCGGGGCCAACTCAATATTGAACCCAGAGACTAAGACTGGGGGGCAATTAAAGGTCATGTGCGTGGAAAGGGCGGGGCCAACTCAATATTGAACACTATGGACTAAGACTGGGGGGCCATTAAAGGTCATGTGCGTGGAAAGGCCGGGGCCCAATACTTGGGGTCAGGGGTCTCCAAACTATGGCCCTCCAGGTGTTGAGGAACTGCAAGTCCCATGAGGCCTTGCAAGACTCTGACAGCCACAGGAACGACTCCAAGAGGCAGAGGCATGATGGGACTTGTAGTACTTCAGCAGCTGGAGGGCCAACTCAATATTGAACCCTACGGACTAAGACTGGGGGGCCATTAAAGGTCATGTGCGTGGGAAGGGCGGCGGCCCGATACTTATGACCAGTGTATGTGTGAATGGGCCCCAGCAGGTCGATTTTACTTTTCGGTATTTTTGAGGCGTGAACATTGAACAGCCAGCAGGTGGCAGCAGCGCCCTCCGGTGACGAATCTCCAGGTTGATACATTATTGATGGCGTTTTGCGTCTCCCTCTATTATTTAGCAGCGTTGCGTCTCGTTTCGGAGATCATTGGACTTGTGGAATCCTCGTGGAATATTTGCCAGTCTGTGTAATAATTGCGGTGGCGGGGGGAGGGGTGGGGGGCGTCCATTGCCCGGTTCACCTCTAGGCAGAGCGACCTTCACATTGGATCGGGAAATCGCCATCGTATTGTACACTCTGGTTGCATCTTGTATGGACATACTGTATCATGGCTGCCGGCCACTCCCAGCGCTGGGGCGAGGTCCTTCAGCAGCCAAGATGAAAGGGCCAGATTGGCCCCTCCCCCTCTCTGTCCTTTTTGTAGTTGCCCCTCCCTGTTGCACGGCCCAAGGCAGAGGACTATTGTGCCCACCAGGGGCGGACTGACCATTTGGAAACTCGGGCACTGTCCGAGGGCCCGGGGTCAGTAGGGGGTCCCCATGAGATGCCCCTGGTACCTTTTCATAGGTTTTTTTTGAGTTTGGCCAAGGACACAGGGGCCCCATGATACCCTATTGCCCGGGGGCCCCATGAGTTTTCAGTCCGCCCCTGGTGCCCACCCCCTGCCCGGGTCAGCTCAGCCCACACCGTTACCGCCCCCCCCCCCCCGTAGAACACTCCCTCTGCCATTTGCTTGTCAAAGGCCAAATAGCCCAACAACTCTTCCGTCCAATCAGGATTAAGTGACGGGTTCTCTTCAAAGCTCCCAGCCAATCCCCTTATTGGTCGGAGGTGCGAGTGCAGACCCCGTGAAAGAGCTTTCGAAGGGTTAATCCGCCCCCCCCTCCCTCATGTGACCTTTAGATCCTTAACTGAAAAGCGGGGGGGAGGGGTCACATTTCCCACCATACCCTAAAGTATCAGGTATTTTCAGGGGGGGGGGGGGGGGGTGTTGGGTTCAGCAAAGTATCAGCAGTAGTGGGGGGAGGGGTTGATGGTCCCGTAAGAGGACCTGTCACCTTCTCTGTAGCCTGACTAGGCAATTATTTATTTATTTATGTATTACAGGTACTTATATAGCGCTGTCAGTATGCACAGCACCAGGGGCGGGCCCCCGGGCAATAGGGGATCATGGGGCCCCTGTGTCCTTACCCAAACTAAAAAAAGACTATGAAAAAGTTACCAGGGGCATCTCATGGGGCCCCTTACTGACCTCAGGCCCTCGGGCAGTGCCTGAGTTTCCAAATAGTCAGTCCGCCCCTGCACAGCACTTTACATATATATTGTACATTCACATCAGTCTCCGCCCCCCGAGGAGCGTACAATCTAAGGCAATGAGGCAGACCCTCTTTCAACATACATGGGTCAAGCAGGTGCAGGGGCGGACTGACAACTCATGGGGCCCCCAGGCAATAGGGGATCATGGGGCCCCTGTGTCCTTGCCCAAACTCAAAAAAGCCTATGAAAAAGTACCAGAGGCATCTCATGGGGCCCCGTACTGACCCTGGGCCCTCGGACAGTGCCTGAGTTTCCATATGGTCAGTCCGCCCCTGAGCAGGTGTCCATGTTTGTGTCCAAAATGGTGGGCGCAAGGATCTATGGAGCACCGGAGGGGGTTACCATACTGGACTTCCTTCCGAAAAATGCCGGGTGCCTGGCTGCCTCTGTATTTAACCTTTGAGTTATTGTACAAGTATGCAGATCAGAAATTTGGACTTCACTGGATGCATGCTTGTTCCAGGTCAATAAAAGTACAGAAGCGAAGCCAGGCTTTTTTTTTTAGAAATTTGGACTGGCAATGGCAGCCTCCATGCGTCCCCTGCAGTGGGTTTACTTTCCGAGTACTGAGAGTCTCCTTCATACCGCTGCAACTCCAGAGTCGTCTGACGTTTACTGGGGATCTTTATCCGATTCCACCACCGAAAGATGATTCAAATTGTCCTGTCTGTGGCCAGCTTTTCGAAACAGTCATATCTAATAATAATAATAACAATGATGATTAAATTCTAGAAATAATAATAAAAACATTCATGATAATAATAACATACATAATATTATAATATTTATAAAAATAGATTCATAGTAATAATAACAATAATGATAATAATATTAATAACCATAAATAAGTGAACTATAATAATAATATTACTACTAAGAAACAGAAGAAGAAGAAGAAGGACATTAATAATAAATAATAATAATAATAATAATATCAGTAATGTTAATACCAAAAACAATAGTAATAAAAATGAAGAAGATTGGCAATAATATTAATATCAATAATAATAACAATAATAATATTAACAAAAAGAAGAAGAATTACATTGTTATTAATATCAATAATGATATTAACAGTAATTAAAAATAATAACAACAACAATAATAATAATAAAATAATAATAATAAAATAATAATAATAAAAAAAGAAGAGTTACATTGTTATTAATTAATTATCAATAATAAAATTATCACTAATAAATAACCATAATTATAATAACAACAATAATAATATTAACAAAAAGGAGAAGACATATTATTATTAAATCAATAAAAAAAAAAAAAAAATTAAATAATAATTAAAAATAATAAAAAAATACTACTCCTAGTAATAAAAAAGTTAATACAATTAGCAGTATGTAAGAATTATAATAAAAAACAATAAAAAATTATCAATAATAAATGTGTTAATAAAAATAAAAAAAATAATATTCCTAACAACAAGAAAAAAATGATGCTAATAAAATCAATAATGATATTAACAGTAATTCAAAAAAATAAAACTAATAATAATAATAATATCAAAAAAAAATACCAAAAACAATAATTAATTAATACGTTAATAATTAATTCGTTAATAAAAAAATGAAGAAGATTGGCAATAATATTAATATCAAAAATAAAAGTATCAAAAAATAATAATAACAAAAATAACAACAATAATTTAATTAACAAAAAAAAAAAATTACAAAAAAAATATTATTATTATTATCAATAATAAAAGTTCAAAAATAATAACAATGATAATAATACACATACTAACACTAATATTCCTGGTAAAAATAAAATTAAAAAATAAAACTGTGATTTCAAAAATGAATATAAAACAACAATAATATCAAAAAACAAATGTATTATTATGAATAATAATAACAAAAATATTAATAAAAAAAAGAATGACATTATTTAATATCAATATTAAGTAGTAAAAAAAATATAAAAACAGCAATAAAAATAAAAAAAAACAAAATAATATTAAAAAAAAACAATAA